GTTTTTGCCGGAGGATCGTGATCCAGTGCATGCTTGGCCGGTGATTTTCTTCGTCTTCATCCTCGCCATGTCCGGTAATTTTTTGCTTTCTGTTAGTACTTTTGAGAATTTCTACTTTTTAGCATTGACATGTGACTCTGTAAACATCCATTTTGAATTTTGAATTTCGAAGTGTGAGGTTTTAGTTACTGTAGTAGTCAAAATACTCGTCACCTTTGATTACTTTATCCATGTTTGATTGATTAACTTCTCATACAAGTTGTGATTGTAGAACTGAAATTCTTTATCTAAAATATTCAGCTCCACATGGCACATAGAAATGGAAGAATAGGAATACTAATCCCTGTTTAGCGGGCAATCTTAGTAGCTCAGTTGATTGTCCAACTATCGTAGATCAGTTTTTTAATGTTTTAGAAAAGACTCCTTGTTTGGCATTATTACTATTCGGGAATCATATTTGTCTGTTACTACAGTTCTAAAACAGAACTTCAATTTTTTTTGATCTTTAGAATGTTGTATTTTGTAGTACTTATTGTATGGTTTCTGAATATGTGAATTTCATTTCGAATTTTGAAGCAATCCAATTTTTAAAATGAGTTACCTTCCTCTCCAACCATTCCATTCTTTTGAAGAGGATGGAGTAAAGAAATTTAAAGGCTTTAACTACTTTAGATCTCTGGAAATTTTCGAATCTAGCATTATCTTCGGTGAAGAAGAAGCTTTAGACATGTTTCCTCTCTTTATTTGTGGGATCCATTGTAATATTATTAGTCATAGTGGTATCCATTGTAACACTTTTAGGCTGTATTACTATATTCCTGGGATCTTACTAATACTTTTTCCTTTCTTTTTCTTGTGGTTCATGATTCTCTTGGTTTCTCTTTTGATAATTGGTGACATCTGCAGCATTGAGTGTAAATAGTAAACAAGAAACCACAGGCAAGCTAGTGAAAGAAGTGTACATACATCCTCCTAGTGCTACTCGTATACTGCTTCCAGACGGCAGACATGTGGCATACCATGAGATGGGAGTTCCATCAAACAAAGCTAGATATTCTGTAATTGCTCCACATGGCTTCCTCTCTTCTCGACTTGGAGGTAGGGACTTGCTCTATAACTAGTACAACAACAACAACAATGGTTGATGTTAATTAGTTTGTTCTATATGTTTTTTTTGTGATAGGTATACCTGGAGTGAAAGTATCACTTCTTGAAGAGTTTGGCATTCGTTTGGTAACTTATGACCTTCCAGGTTTTGGAGAGAGTGATCCTCACCCTGAGCGGAACCTTAACTCATCTGCTCTAGACATGCAATACTTGGCTAATGCCTTAGGAGTTAATAGTAAATTCTGGGTTTTGGGCTACTCAAGTGGAGCAATACATGCTTGGGCGGCAATGAAATTTATACCTGATCGAGTTGCTGGTATGTTCATTCTTCCATTTTTATTCAACTCTTCTCTACTAAAACATCAAGGTTATTTTTTCTCTTTTGGCATGCATTGTGTCAAATTTAAAGTAGAATGGACAGTTCACCACAATCAACAATTGATGTCTCTTAAAATATGAGAGATAATAAAAAGAACATCTCTTGGATGATTCACACTGTAATGCGATAGCTTACTTGGTTGTTGGATGGTCTGATAAAACATCACACCCTCTAATTGATTACATAAGCCTTACTCTTCAAATTTCTGATGATTTTATCATCCTGTTACAGGTGTAGCTATGTTTTCCCCATTTATCAACCCATATGAATCAAGCATGACCAAAGAAGAGATGAGAGGAACTTGGAACAAGTGGACAAGGAAAAGGAAATTGACATACTATTTAGCTCGAAGATCTCCAAAATTTCTTGATTACTTCTATCGCCGGACATTTCTATCTGGAAAGCATGGTCAAATTGATAAATACATGTCTCTGTCGCTGGGACAAAAGGTAGATATTTTTATACTGAAGAAAATGAAAACCTGCATGCAAATAATGTAAAATTTGAGTAAATGGATTTCACCTATGAATTTTCAATGTTGGATCCCCCTACCCCTTCCGGTCCTCTAGAGTGGTCTTATCAGTGATTATAGAATGCAAATATTTACTTGTGCACCTCTCGGAAACAAGAAAAAGGGAGTCCACTATGTATTCATTCTTATGTTTTCAGTTCAGATTGCCTATAGTAAGTGACCTGCACTAACTAAAAACTTAAAAAGATTTCATTCCAAACTATAGTTCTTTTATTTATTTTTTTAAAAAAAGGAAAAAAAGTGAACACTTTGCATCATTTCGAAAGCAGTCAAGTTTTTCCTGTTTAGTTTTTACTCTTGCTCTTCTTTGTTTTTCTGTTTTTTTTTTTGGTCGTGTGTGCGATAGATGTAGCAGAAAATTGTAAAGTCAACCTCTACCTGGAGAACCTAAATTCCCCAACTATTTGCGGATTGAGACTGATTTGATTGTATTTGTGATAGATGCAGAAAAGAGACATGGTTGCTTTTCTCTGTCTTCTGCTTGCAATGTCTTCAGTAACATTTTAATTATCTTTGCCATGTATTATCTTGTGTTCTCAGGATAAAGCGCTGATCAGAGAACCAACCTTTGAAGAGTTTTGGCACAGGGATGTTGAGGAATCAATACGTCAGGGAAGCACGAAGCCATTTATAGAGGAAGCTTCACTTCAGGTGTCAAATTGGGGGTTTAGCCTTGTGGATCTTCAAGTGCAAGAAAAGTGTTCTGGTAAAGGGATTCTATCATGGCTTAAGTTTGGTTATGGTCAAGTGAGGTGCGAATTGACTGGATTTCTAGGACCAGTTCACATATGGCAGGTTTGCAAACATTCAAATCTTGTTTCCTCGGTTTCATCTGCTTTCTCCGTCTCTTCCTGCATTGAGTTTCTTTAGTACATTGTATGTGCAAAGATAGGATTGTCTCTACTGTGTAGTACACATTTCATCAGCATTTGAATTATGAACAGGGATTGGATGATCACGTTGTACCACACCAAATGACAGACTATGTAGCTAGAATTCTGCCAAGTGTGGTGGTGCACAAGCTTCCCAACGAGGGCCACTTCTCCTATTTCTTCTTCTGTGACGAATGTCATAGACAAACGTTCCTGACCATTTTCGGAAGCCCTCAGGGGCCTCTTGAAGAGAGCATTGAAGCTCCAACGGAAGAAGATGGAGAACAGGAAGCTGCAAATCTTGATTTGGCAGCAGAATGAGCAGAAAAGGTTTCGTCATCACTGACTACTGATGTATATACTACACGAATGCTCCGTTTCTCCATGAGCACAAAAGGTCAGATGTACGATCGGTACTAATGAGCTCTAAATATTTTTCATTTTTTTGTCTTGGGTGGATAGTGCTTTTCGGATTTCACTACGAATTTTAATAGCAGAAGTTAGAGTAACAGATGATCACAAAATCTCTTGTTTTTTTTTTCCCCAAGAGGGCATATCTTTGCCTTGTTTGTTACAAGGATCTGTGTTTGATGACCAACTTGACAGAAAGTTGATCGTAACATCTCCAGTGATGCTTAAATTTCACTGTATCAACAAAATCTTTAACTGAGCAATAGATTTTTCTTGAGATGAGGATCTATTGGAAACGACCTCTCTCCTCTCGTTACATAGGAACAAAGTCTGCATACCCCCACTCTCCTCAGATCCAATACTAGGTATCAGTGTTTTAAAGGGGGGGGGGGGGATTTTATACCGTATAGGGTGAGGCATAAGTCTCGAGACATAGGGCGTAAGTCCCATGGATTTATACGCCCCGTGTATATTCAATCTTATAATTTTATAACTAATAAAATTAGCAAAAATAAACCTTTTAATGATTTATGATTTTTGTTTCAGATAAATATTAATAATCAATAATGAAGAAAAAAATATTATAATTACAATTTGAGAAAGGGATAATTGTATATAATAGCAAACTAATAACCTAAAATAAATGGAGTAGCTGGGGTTTGATTTAATTGTGCTCCATAGCAAACGTTTGCCAAAATTTGTCAGTCGCCTCTCTCTCAAAAATCTCGCTCGCCACTCTCCCATTCTCGCTCCAATCTCTCGCTCGCTTCCTCATTTTTTATACAAACAAAAGTGTATAAAAACTGTTTCTATTTGTATAAAGCAGAGAAAATTGTATAAATACATATATTTTTGTTCCCCTTCTCCCCTCTTCCAGATCTCGCTCGCAACCCTCGCCTTTCTCACTTATACAAACAGAAGTAAAATGTATAAATTGCGTTTCTGTTTGTATAAAGCGTGAGAAAATTGTATATACATATGCAAGTACATATATTTTCGTCCTATACACTTATAATTATACAATAAAAATTACTCTCCTGCCCAGTTTCTTTTGCCTTTCTCTCTTTCTCGTTTTATACAAATTCAAATTGTATCTAAATTCTCTCTTTCTCATTTTATTCAATTCGATTCAATCGTATATTCCCTGTCCAAGTCTCTTTTGTCTTTCTCTTTCTCATTTTTTACAAATTCAAATTGTATATAATCGTTTTATGCACTTATAATCATACAATTCGTTTTATGCACTTCGTTTATACAATTCTCTACCCAAGTATCTTTCTCTTTCTCGTTTTATACACTTCGTTTTATACAATTCGCTTCAACTGTATATGTATAGCGAATTATACAGTTTCTATGTTTGATATGGAACGCAATTATGCAAACTTTGCTATAACATACAAATATGAATTTTTTATTTGCTATATATGAAAGTTGCCCTTTGAGAAATATCATTGCACCAATAATAAAAAAATATGACTTAAAGCAAAACTAAGTTATAGATATGAATAAAAAACGCCCAGGACTTACGTTTTTATGTTCAGGGCTTACGCCTCAAATTTTTGGACTTATGTCTTATAGATCTACATATTTCATTTATGCATCGGGGTGTTTTTGCTTCACTCCACGCTCGCCCAAAAACGTTTTTTAAAACACTGCTAGGTATGTTGTTGCTAGAAATAAAAAAAATTTAGAGAATGAGTGCTGGCAACTGGTCTTCAAAGCCACGTGATTCAAATTTTGGAAGTATACACATTTTCTGGTTCTATTAGTAATATTTCTGGAATTCCTCAGCCCCATTACCTATACAAATAGAGTGAAATGCCACATGACGATAACGACATAACGTCTGGAGAGGATGGTGTGTAAGCAGAGCCTTTCACCTACCCAAAATGCCACATGAATAGTGAGAATTCATATAATCGACTTCTCAAGCTTGCTTAGAATTAAAACAAACTAGTTGTAACTTGTACATCTTATGATGTATTCTCAATGTTCTAGTGTCTAATTTTTTGACTAAAGACTCTTGGATTTGGGTATGTCTAAGTACCAGCAAAAATTTCGTGTAGCCTAGAACGCGGATCCATTGTTCTTCGTCTGTCCAAGCAAAGTGTCTTTCGCCTCGTTTATTTTAGAAGCAAGGTAGTGACTACCTCCTGCATCTGGATGGTTAGCTACCATCACCTTCCTATGTGCTTCCCTCACTTTATTTGCTTCAGTGTTTTCCCTGTTGAAGATATTGATGTCAATATAACAAAATCCAGAAAGGAAAACAGAGGAGAAAAGACTACTCGTGCTACTGTTCTTATATATCGAATATCATTATACTATATAAACACAAACAAATAATAGCGTTAGACCAAAACTCAAAGAACTCAGATATCATTACACTATACAAGCATGAACAAATAATAGCGTTAGAACGAAAGTCAAAAACCCCAAAAATGTGGTGTAAACCTGACATGTTCAAGGATAGTGTTATGTAGTTTACCTCCATACAATTGAGACGAATAGTACTAACTGTACCTTCAGAGAAAGTGGATTTGATAGTGAAGTACTACGAGCAGACCAATATGCTCACAATGTAGAACGAAGGATTTTTCAGAATGTAGAGAGAAGAGATTGTATTCATATAACGACTTAACCTATGTAGCAACAACATATCCAACATGATTCCCAGACGTGGGGTCTAGGGAGGTTATGAAGAGTGTTTCTTATAGACCTTTGATTCAAGGAGATAGATTTAACTTGTGTAGTACTTAAAAAACGTCTCATATAGGAATTGCAGCAACGCGTTAACATGAATGACAGAACAGACCTGACTCCAAGAATCAGAGCTGCTTCCCTTCTGTTCATTTTAGGCTGAAAACCTCCTTCATAAAACTTGCGCATTCTCACAGTGGGAGGTCTGGCCTTGAATGCTTGCCATGCCTGGATTCCATACCTTGAAGCATATGCAGCAGCGGCTATAGCCATTCCTGCTACTAATGGTGCGACCTGAAGCACAATTTTGAATCATGTAAATTTCGAGTGTAAACAAGACATATACCTTTCTCCACTGAAATACCAGACTATGGGGCTTTTATCTGAGGCGAGGTACGGTGCCTAATGTATAGAGCTCTCTCAAAACCTTTTTTTCCAATAATATTTCCATTTGAACTAGTGACTCAAGAATGTACAAAAAGGCAATCAATCAGATGGAGATGCCTTTTATCCTGCATCGGTACAAGACCCTCTCTACTAGATTAGCTAATTCGGTTGCAGATGGGGATTCCCTCAAAAAAGCCATCACTTAGAATCAAGAAAAGAAAGAAGAAGGAAATAGTGAATCAAAATCGAGATGGATCCCTATCTTTATCTCTTATCCACGAAGCTCAAGAAGCCGGTTTGTTCTAAATGGTTTAGAGCAATCCCTACATTGCCACTTTCTAGATTCAAAAGGTTAACCGTGACATCATAAATGGAGTCCGGAGAAAGTGGTGTATATGCAAACCTTACCTAACGTGGGTAAGGTAGAAAGGTTGTTTTTGATAAGAACCCTTGGCTTCAAATACAAGCATTTTCGAAGCTTTATTACCATAACTAGAAGGATAAAGGTTCCCATAAGAATGAAGTGCATAGACAACAAACACAGAAGATTAAAGATAAATAAAAACCCAATATACTCACATAATAGAAGAAACCAAAGGCTTTTACAAAGAGACTTGATGACAGCAAATGATACATTAAATAGAAAATAGCAAAGAAGACAAGGACATGAAATAAATATGCTTACAAAGCAATTTCTCAACTCAAGTTCATTGCATAACCATTTAAAGCAACTATCTCAAATCAAAGAATCAAAAGTTCGAAACTTTACGCCCCAGGGAGGGCGTAGCTCAATTGGCAAAAGTTGAGGGATTTGCGGCTTAGATCCCAAGTTCTAGCCCTATAACTAACAACAAAAAAAACAAAATATATACCCAATGTGTCCCGAAAGTAAAGTTCGGGAAGAATGGTTTGTACACAACCTTATCCCTACCTTGTGAAATTTGTGAAATTAGAGAAGCTAATTTCAATAGACACTCAACTCAAGTAAACAACAACATCAACAATAATAACATACCTAGTGAGAAGGTTAGAGTGAACACAGACGTTACCACTACCGAGGTTGTTTCCAAAAGACCCTCGACTCAAGTAAAACATATCAAAATCACGTATTGAGCCTAGGGGCAGGCCGATTATCCTCGAGTAACAAAGGCTGCAGTTGGTCATAACTCATAAGGGTTGGTCTCAGATAAATTTTCTTCAAATAAAAGAAGAAAAAGTTCAAATCTTTATGATCAAAACAAGCATATAACAACCCCCAAAAGTACAAAAAGCACAGAACAAAACACAAAAGATTAAAGATTCATAAATTCCCAGTATCAACTATTGAAGGTAAGCAAAAACAGACAATTGCTAAGTTTTTTTTCACAATTAATAAGAGTTTAAAGAAGTAAAATTTATGATTCTTTTTCCATAAAAATAGTCCTAAAAATAATTTGAAGAAAAAGAGTTCTCACCATTTTTTCCGATCTTCACCTAAGAGCTTGAATATAACGAAGTAAGAGATTTAGACCAATTGATAATCCATTGATGGGCTTTTGTTTTTCAAATTTATAAATTTATTTTGTTGGGTCGTACTTTTTCTTGTTAGGGTTATTGCTATATTTTTTTGGAAAAATTACTAAAATACGCTACTTTAATTTATTTAATTTCATTAATTTCTTATTATTAAATTACAAAAATCCCCTTTTTATCCCAAATGATACTAATTAAATTTTATACATTAAAATATTAAAAAGGCAATATTTACCTTACCTTTCCAATGCATGACTCCTCCTTTTCCCCAAAAAATCACCTTCCAAAAATTACCTACTCCCAAGATTTCCGCCTCCCCCCCTCCCCCAAAAAAAAAAAAATTCTCCTAATTTTTTCCCACTAATTTCAATTAAAATTTGTGATACAAATTTGAAATTCGAATTATTCTAAAGATTATTATCAATACTTTTCTGAATTTGAGTCCTAAATCAGGTATATCATTATCCTTACTACGATTTTTCAATTTTCTCTTTTTTTGTATTTTTAGTGATGGTATATCATCATCCACATTGTTATTTTTCAATTTTTTCCCTTTTTCTTTTTATATTTTCGATGATTATTGTTCAAAAATTTTTATTGTTGATTTTCATAATCAAATTTTATGTAGATCTGAGTTCTTTATAGTTACATCAAACCATGGTCATGAAAAAGAGGGGTAGAAAGGCGGCACCTCCTATTGTTCGACCAACATTACAAATACCACAACAGCTCGTTTGTTAACGATGCCCTTTGATAAGTATTTGTCGCCGTTTGATAAGTATTTGTCGCCGGAGCTCCGGTGAGATGATATATTGTAACTAAAATTTAAGTATCAAATTTAAATTGTGAATTTGAGTATCTTTTTATTTGTTGGACATGAAATTTAATGTATCAAAGAAATATATTTAAGTTTAATTTTTTCGTTTATATATAGATTCAAATAGTATTTTGTAAGTATCACGTGATAGAATGATTCTTTGTTTTCTTTTTACTTATATTTCGTATATATTAAGGTATCAAATAATAGTATACGTGTATAAAAATTAAAGTATCTAATTTAAATTGTGTATTTGAGTATATTTTCATGTGTTGGACATGAAATTTAATGTATCAAAGAAATATATTTTAAATTTAATATTTCGTTTATATATATAGTTTCAATTAGTATTTTATAAGTATCATGTTAACCTGTTTATTTATATTTTAGTATAAGATGAATTATATTAAGTATCTTTTTAATCTTATCATGATTTTTGAATAAATTTGTTAGTATGTTCAATTAATTTTATTAAGTATCATTTTTTGGTGCTCATGATAGAAGGATTCTTTGTTTTATTTTTACTTATATTTCGTATATATTAAGGTATCAAATAATAGTATGTGTATAATATTGTCATACATTTGTTATTTAAGTATCATATTTATATGAATTATTGATAAGTATATAAAAATTTAAGTATCTAATTTAAATTGTGAATTTGAGTATCTTTTTATGTGTTGGACATGAAATTTAATGTATCAAAGAAATATATTTAAATTAAATATTTCGTTTATATATAGTTTCAAATAGTATTTGTAAGTGTCATGTTAATCTGTTTATTTATATTTAGTATCAGCATTATGCAATTTTCAGTACAATTTAAAACATTAATATTATTATATGCGCTCAATACTTCAAAACCTTTATCTGAAGTATCAATGCATAAAGGATAAGTTCCGAACCCAGCCTCATGTTTCTTAATTTCTACATACAATTTTACACCCATATCATTTCGAATACACAATGGAGACGAATTTCCTTCAACAACATATCTAATATCTATATTTTTTTTCGAATCGTCAATACCCAACTCAGCCGCAATTGTTGAAATAAGATTCATGAACGGAATATTTTCACCAACCACTATTCCATCACTTTTGTATCGCTCGTACATAACATCACTTTCCCATATTCCAGAATGTCGCAACAAGATCGAAATATTCATATTTGAAAAATTAGAATTGGCCTTTAAGAGTTTTTTAAAGCAGAATAGTGTTTTTTTTTCCTGATTTTGAATGACTATTTTAAAAATTTTAAATTGAATAAAATTGAATGTAGTAATTTGGAATCAGTTTTCACAGTGATTTGGTTTCAAAATTAACATAAATAAAGGGAAGGAAAATCATTACATTAAATGATTATTTAATGTAGTAATTTCTGAAGCAATTAACATGGTCAATTAGTTACAAGATTAACATAAATCAATTTAAGGAAAATCAGTTACCCTTGATTTTAGCTATAACAGTTACATAAAAAATAAATTCAGTCATTTATATTCATTTATATTTAAGTATCATTTCTGTTTTATAAAGTATCCGAAATTCTTAAAAATAAGGGATTTTTGGTAAATATTGATATTATAGGGATAGAATGTAATTAATCATTTACGTATGTCATTTGCCTAATTTATACATATTTTTATTTGTTCATTTTGAATTTTGTACGTATTTCGCAAGTAAAAATCAATAAATAGAGTATTATTAAGTTATTCGAGTAGATTATATATTTTATTGTAATATTCATATTAACTAATACATGATCTTAAATAATAGGAATTAATATTGAGAGTGAGAGTAACATTTTTTGATATATTAAAAGTCACAAAAAAAATATAAATTTATTTTTTGAAATATTAGACAATATAAATAAACGGAAAAAGTATTATCTTTAAGCCATTTGAGAAGACTATTTATAGTAAATTCTCTTTAAAGATTTGGAATTTGTGATTTTGAGGTTACATAAAATAATTTTACATGTTCTCGCATATAAAGGCGATTTAATGAATTAATGATATAGAAGTTTCTTTTAAGTTACTTTGTATCTAATTTTAACTCATCTCATCGTGTTAAACTCTCTTCTTCTTCTCAATTCTTTTCAAATAAAAGGCGATATTTTCGTCTTATTTTATGTTATATTTTTTAAATTTTAAGATATAAATAACTTTATTTTTATTGTAAGTTTTTTTTATATAATTTTTATAACATTATAAAATTATTATTATTGTGATTTATAATATTTTTTACGTAATTTACAAACATATAAATGTCATTTCAAAAAAATTAAAAGTTCATGCGCAAATTGTTGATAAAACTTAAATTATTTAATTCTCGAAAAATTTAAAGTGTCATATAAATTACGATATAGGAAGTAGATATATTATATTTTCTCCATTTTATTTTAGTTGTCTGAATTTGTTTGATATTAAATTTGGAGAAGTGAACAAGTATAATTAAATTTTGTGGTCTTACTTCTTAAACATGACATCTCAAAAATTGCAATTAAGGAATTATCAAAAATAAAAAAAACGAAGGATAATAATAATAATAATAACAACAACAACAATAATAATAATAATATGACAACCTCAGTCTCTCTTCAGCTCTTAAATTGAAAAATAATTCTGTAACAGAGAGAACTATGTGTTAGTTTTTTTCAGATGTACTTGATCATTTACACTTCATGTGTATTTTTTCGTAAAGATTCATATAATCGACCCTGACTTATTAGGAATTGAGACTTAGTCATCGTACGCGAGTGCATGTTCCAATCACATTGTCTGCATTACTATATTCACTCCAGAGTTTCTGCAGATACATGGGAATGTGAAACAAGCAGTATCTAATTGTCTGAACAAAGAAACAGGAACATTTTTTTTCATTTCACTATTATGGTGTACATAGTACTAAAAATAATACAATCATATATGTTATCACAATCAAGAAAATGTTATCTAAAATGATTCACAAGTATTGACACTTTTGTTGTCATCAACAAGCACGAGAGAAAGTAACGCGAAAAGCAAGAGTCATTCAGGGCAAAGCCCGCACAACAACATACCTAGTGAAATCCCACAAGTGGAGAGACTGTTTCTGAAGGACATTCGACTCAAGTGCAGCAAATCAAAGTAGTTGATATCGCGCAGAGAGGGGCATTTTAAACGCGTACCTATAAGCCAGAAGGGTGGCAGGATTGCTTATTGTTTGTGACAAGAATAATTAGTTGACGACTCCATTCACATGATCCTCGGCGATGGAGGTGTTCAAAGAGGTGTTGTCAAACTTTGGTGGGCCTGAATGCCGCCTTGTTCTGGCAGGTGACGGTGGATAAGAGAGCCGCTTCTTCACAGACCCTGCTGATCCTTTTTCTGGTTTGCCATTTTCCATGCCTAATGGATTTTGCAACCGTGTTTTGGCCTTTGCAGACTGAGTGGACGCCATGTAACTTGGGACTGAAGGCGAGCTTGCCAGGCTCTCGTCGTCTCTTATAGATGATCCTGCTATGCTATGCCTCCTGTTCCGTTCTGACTGCACGCTAAGCATGCTTCGGTTATCATCATCTTGGTTCATTGCACTAATTCTCGGGCTTGCTGGTTTCAGTTTTCTGGCTGCTGCTACTGAAGTGGTTGGCTTGGAAGGGGTTGTTGGAGAGTGGTAGCGTGATGGATGGCTCGGTTTTTGTCTGGATGGAGACGAAGGGAGTTCAGAATTCAGCTGATGACGGGCAAATGACTTCGCAATTTCTCCTCCAGCAATGCTCACGCTTCTAACAGACATCTGATCGGTTTTAAGTTGTTTCTCAGACATGCTTTGACTTTCCCAAGGCCTAGCACCCGTCCACCGCTCTAGCCAGCTCCAACCCCATTGCGGATTGGTCGGATCCATGAACAACAAATTGGTAGATCTTGATGATTTCTTCCAGGTTTGCTGTTCAGTTTTAAAAATTGACAC